TTCCTTTCAACAATGGGCAACCGAAATCTGCATGCATTTGTCAGAAACGAGGTTTACATCCAGATCTTTTCTTGGATGGCAATCGCCGTCCAGTGAGCACTCACTGCACAAACCGACGTGATAAACTGGTCCTGTGGTATGCTACGAAAAACAACATCTTTTTCGAATCATGTTTCATATTCGATATTCGCATACAACTCCTTTTGTCTGGGGCTGGTATCAGCCTTGACAGTACTACGAATACCCCAATGTTTAGGACTCCACAGTGGACTATATCTCCGCCAAAGATCGACTTGGCGATACATTCTGTACACATAGATTCATCTACTTCATACTTCGAGAATAAATCTCTGTCCTCAATGGCCGCCATATCCAAAAATTAGTATATTGTTTTCTACTGCGCTTCTATTCCGTTTCACACCTGGCACACACACAAAGACTAAATAAACCTATTCAATTCCATTAAATGGAAGCAGAATAAATACTTCTAAAAATTCTCGATCGTTAATTTAGGACTTAAAATGTCGGTCAGCTAGCTTATTGTCTTTTCTCAAGTGGAGCTAACTGTACACAGGCAGTCTAAGTTTGGTATGAGAAATATACTATCCCCATGGTGTTTCAATCTCTCTTTCGAGAGCTAATGTTTAAATATGGTGCTTATGCTCCAATATATACAGGTGGTTCCAAAGATGATGATCAGGTAGCTTTGTCTACCGTGACACCATCTGAGTCCATTTCTGTAAGCCTTCACCATCTAATATAAAATATATAATTTTTACTGATTCTTTGCCCTCTTTACAAGCTATACATAACAAACAGCTTGGTCACCAATAAGTAGAAGATATTTATCGTCTGCCACTATCATTCAAGCTCAGCAGCAAGGGGGTTGGGATGGCCTAGTGGTCTAGAGTGTCGCGCTTCGACCTCTAGCTGGGCGGTCACCTCTGGCTTGCGGTTGTGGTTTCGATCCCTGGTGTGAGCGTATGTGGCTTGGAGATGGGAGCGCCTTCTTAACCTCGTGGGTTTACTCCCACAGTAACGACCCCTGTGCGTTCGCAATACCACCTTCGGTGGAAGCGGACGTTAAACACTAAGAACAACAACAAGAACAGATATGGCTGCCATTTTAAAGGAGACACATTTTTATAGAAAGTTTTAATTTGTATCTACATGTATACTAGTTTTTTCAATTTTTAAATATTTGAATTATTTTAAAATAATATTATTTAATATTATTTAGTATTAACGGTGATACTTGTTTTTATTTATGTATATTAATATTTTGTGATTTCATTTAATGTTCCTCATAAATATCACCATATTTTTGGCGCAATATATCCCGGTTGGAGCTGACGTGTCATTAAATAACATTTCATTCATTCATTCTGCGTTAGTTACCTATCAACTATGTAACCATTTATGCCAACATAAACTGATTTCAACACTGGTTTAAAGGGCTAATCCCGATATTTCTTGGAGAATAAAACTGCTTAATTTTGTGTTAAAATCCCTTAAAATACTCTACCTTAGGGCCGAGCAACTAACTCAATATTTGTGATACATTTTAAAACAACTTAAACCCGTCAGTCTTCATCTGGAAATGGAGACCGGTGTCCCAAGATGTATTATGCGGTGTCTGGATAAAACCAGACGTTTATTTTATAAAAAAAATAATGTGTAGGTGAAATTTACCTTTCGTTACCAAGTACAGCACATGGGTCATTCACTATATAGACCTCTCAAGGAACGGAAATCGATTATCAGATCACCCAACGAAAAAACTGACCCGAAATCTTAAAAGGGTTACGTGTCCGGATATGCAGTTTTGAGGTTCTCGTCCAAACGACTCAATATTTTGAGCTGGGATTTTGAGAGAAGGTCAATACATCATTCCTCTATATTTTGGCGGTAAAATTTCATACGTACTCCAACTTTTATTTTTCTGACTCTCTTGAAATCGGGATAGTCCCTTTAATAAGATGTTAACATTTTAAAGTACTTTTCGTCTGTCTTGGGACTATTCATAAATAATATCATTGCATATAGATGGACACCATAGTATATTTATTCATATTCATATAGATGGACACCATATGTGTTATTCTGTATTATGTTAAAACCCTCTCAATAAATCAGAACTATTATTAAAGCCACAAACTTGTGTTTTCTCTTCAATTGATACATCAGCTTGAAAACCCCATGATAATTGATAGTTATTGGATAGTTGTCATGACGTAAAATCAATAGTGGTCAATTAATTACTTAGCTGAACAGAGTTATCTACCTTACCCAATACTTCTAGTGGATCGCTGTGTCAACACTGATATATGTTTAACATTATGTTTACCTTATTTTTCTATTTTTAATGGAATAAATCCTAATTGTCCCGATTAGAGATAACCCAATACTACCCAATAATCAAATACTACCCAATACCACCTCATGCTACCCAATACCCCCTCATGCTTCCCAATACCACCTCATACTACCCAATACTACCACATAATACCACATACTACCCAATACTACCACATAATACCCAATACTACCACACACTACCCAATACCACCACATACTACCCAATACTACCACATACTACCCAATACCAACATAAGCTAGCTACCCAATTCCACCTCATACTACCCAATACCACCACATACTACCCAATACCGCCACAAACTACCCAATACCACCACCTACTACCCAATACCATCACATACTACCCAATACTACCACATGCTACCCAATACCACCATATACTACCCAATACTACCCAATACCGCCACAAACTACCCAATACCACCTCATATTACCCAATACCGCCACAAACTACCCAATACCACCACCTACTACCCAATACCATCACATACTACCACATACTACCCAATTCCACCACATACTACCACATACCACCCAATACTACCACATACTACCCAATACTATCCATTACCGCCACAAACTACCCAATTCCACCTCATACTACCACATACTACACAATACCACCACCTACTACCCAATACCATCACATACTACCACATACTACCCAATTCCACCACATACTACCCAATACTACCACATATTACCTAATACTACCACATACTATCCAATACCGCCACAAACTACCCAATACTACCACATACTACCCCATACTACCACATACCACCACATACTACCTAATACTGCCACATACTACCCAATACCACCCCATGCTTCCAATACCACCACATACCACCTCATACTACCCAATGCCACCACATACTACTTCATTAATCTGTAAGTTTTGCACAATGGGGAGAGAGAGAGAGAGAAAGAGAGAGGATTTAACGTCCACTCGACACAAACTAGGTCATTTCGGGACTAACATATGGTTTAATTTTATTTCAATAATTCGCTTGCGCGTAGGGGTCTTCAGCAGTGGGAGGAAACCGGAGGACCCGAGAAAACCCACAAGATTCGTCAGGCGAACTTACTCCTTATGATACAACGTGTATGTGGGCCTCAATCCGCCATCCAACCTCCTGATATATGTGGCCCCCAAAATTTACTAAAGGAAATACATAAGGCGATACTTGTCGAAACGTCGTGATTTTTTAATAAACCAGAGATTATGGTATGACAAGAGTTGATGACAAAGTAGAAGGCGCCCCTATCTCCAAGCCACATACGGTAAGACCAGGGATCGAAACCACGATTGAAATTCAGAGGTGACTGGCAAAGCCCAGCTTAGGCATGGGCCCCGCGGTTTAGGGGACCCGCGGTTCATGACAAATAGACTTTCCAGATGAAAGTTTCACGGTAACTGATCTAGCGGCGCAAGGGCAGAGACTGAGCTATCCCCCAAACCTTATGTGCAAAGTTCCACTCGGTGATCGGTCTAGACTTCTAGACTTGTATGTCATTCGGAACTGGATAGATTTCGTATGGGATCAGATATTATGTAATTATTCTTGTATTACACATACGTGCCATTCAAAGGGATATGAAACGAGGTTGGAGAGGCGACCCTACTCCTTGTCACGTACAACCGGGGATTCGAAACCACGCCAGTTGACTCAATGACAGGCCTTATGATACAGCGCGCACGTGCTAACTATTCGGCCATCCAACTCCATCCTGCATGAAAGCCATCAATTTATGTGAACCACTACAAATAGATGAAACATTACTGCAACTCTGCGAATAAGTATTTACCAAATTGACTAAACATCACTATCTTGAAGAGAGAGAGAGAGAGAGAGATGGGGTTTAATGTCCACTCGACACAAACTAGGTCATTTCGGGACTAACATATGGTTTAATTTTATTTCAATAAACTGCTTGCGCAGTGGGAGGGAACCGGAGGGCCCGGCGATAACCCACGAGGTTAGACAGGCGACCCTAATCCTTGTCACGTACAACCGGGGATTCGAAACCACGCCAGTTGACTCAATGACAGGTCGTATGATACAGCACGCACGTGCTAACCCTTCGGCCATCCAACACCCCGCACTAACTTGGTTAAAGGCAAAACCGTCCCCTTGAATTTAGACCCTTGGCTTTTAATTCGAGTATGCGTTATTATTTCCCTAACAAATTTTCTATTCGCACCATCTTAAATGAAATGAAATGAAAAAGGGGTTAATGTCCTACTGTTCTGCTCCGAACTGGGCTAATCAAGAGGGGCATGCGACATACAGTGTGTTATAAGGAAAATTTTCCCCGCGGAGCGGCACTATGGCTTACTCTTAAATCAAATTCCCACTACCAAGGGATCTTTTACGTACATACTGTACCTTGTCCCATCCGAACGACTAGACACAATATGGAGGGTGACAACAAAATATGGAGGATAACATGTTTGACTGACAAACACAGCAACATGAAGTAAACAACAAAAAGAAAGAACAAACTGTTTATTTTTCAACCTGGTTTACATTTTAAAATCCTGTACTTGTTGGTTTATCTGGTTTTTATGAAGAAATAAGGATGAATAATTATAGTTGTTTGTTTAGATTAATATATCGTTAGCTTAAAATTACAATTTATGAACCAGACAATTATTGTGTTCAAACGAGAAAATTAATTCATTTAAACGAGATACTAATTGTATTGAATCTAGAAATGGTTGTTCACTGTACAGTGGCTGTAGCATAACATGGACTGGTTTACCCATCACAGATTGATTGTCCACATTTAACCCCTGAAATAAATAATACTTGGTTTATATATTATCAATAAACAAACGGCCATAAGCTTTCAGTAAACTCGTTCAGGACATGCTTAAAGTTTTGAGGGGCCCTAGGCCAAACGTTTTCATTGATCCTATTACACAGGCATCCATCAAATACAAAATATCAAAAGATATTACCAAGAAAACCCATAAAATAAGTAATTTAGATTTTGCTATAATATATAAGCAATCTATGAACAATCTGAGTGTATGTCACCAATCTGATTCAAATACAGATCAATATTTCGTTTCGTTTTTTATACTTTCGCTGGCCTCTCCTATATGAAGATCGGGTAGTGGAACATCGCGTCTAAGGTCATACGAGCGGCTTTTGACCCTAAGACATTTGATTAACCAATCAGTGTAGATGTTTCTAATGGGTTAAACACAGTTCCGTGCACCTCAGACCAAAAGCTCGCCGTACCTAACCGTTTCATTGGCTAATCCCTCACATCATCCAGAACACGGGTTATATGGCATCTCTTCAAGATCCTAGTGTAGTACAGACAAGTAAAATGGAATTTTGAACTAAAATTAAAAAAAACGGTCAAATCTTCATGTAGTGTAGGCCAAGAAAGTATAAAAAACGAAACGAAATATAGATCTGTAGTTAAATCCGATTGAACGTTTTTAGGCACTGTGTCTGTTATTTGGATGGTGTTGTCCCTCCCCTAATATAGTACACCATGATAGCTGATTAACGTTCGTGATGTGGATGATGTTGTCCCTCCCCTAATATAGTACACCATGATAGCTGATTAATGTTCGTGATGTGGATGACGGGTTGGACGGGAGACCCTACTCCTTGTCACGTATAACAGGGAATCGAAACCACGCCAGTTGACTCAATAACAGACCTTATGATCACACGCTAACCATTCGGCCATTCAACCCCCTGTTTATATATACAAATGACGTCATATTGTTTGTTTATATATATACAAATGACGTCATACTGATGGTTGATTATAATAGAATTAGGAGATAAACACCGACTGTTTAGAATTTATCGGACTGTTATTGTTAAGCGGTATCAAATGGACAATAACAGTCCGATAAATTCTAAACAGGAGGTGTTTATCGATATTGTAGCCCAAAATATTTAACATTTTTCTTGGAATTCTTTCTTTCGCATATAGTTGACGGTAGTTTTTGGTTTTAATGACGTAAATACTAAGGGAAACAATTTTGACTTAATGAAAATATCCGTGCCGTAATAAGATAAACACTCATTTCCATTCTATTTGGTTCACAAAGCGACTGGATAAGTGTGTCTGTTTGGAAAGGGAGGTCACTCTGCGATAATTTTAAAGATTGAAACAGAAAACGTAAGTGTATTTTATGTACTTTTTAAATGATTTTAAACTGCAGCAGTGACTAGGATCGAAATAAATTGCATATCATGTTTGATAAATGTCCATACACTCGTGTGACAGTGTAGATAGATGTTGTGTAGCGTACGCATGTGGTTGCTATGCTTGTTTACGTTGTCATTTCGACGCTGTGAATATGATGCTTCTTCTTCGCAAAAAACCCTGGCCTGTGTATCTGTATGAAAATTAGTCTCTGTCCTATTCATATCAGTATCAGCCTGACTTGTATATTATTAAAAATATATTACGGTCCATACGGAGTTCAATAAATTGTAGTATTTTTATTCACTTGTTGAAAATCTTCGATTTTGACCAGTCTGATTATGATAGAGTACGTGACCATACTGTCCATAGCAACCATTATTATTGTCAGACCAGCCTTGAAATTAAATTTACCTATTATCTTTCAAATACAATCACTAACTTTTTTTTTGTGTTTCAGGTGTGTGTTTCAATAAGCCAATGGTTGAATTTCATTGTTGATGACATACAAGAAAAAAATCATGAAGATTTCCTAGAATAAAGTTTTGAGGTGTAGAATTTTTGGCCACTGCAAACAGAGTCTAGCACCCAGAAAATATTCATTCGCAGTGAGTCGCCCAGGAAATTTAGAGGACTGTTATACTCATTCGACGCCACTTTTCGACCAATCAGAATCCAAGAAATTTCCATTTTGGGCTACAATAGTTAATATTTACCAACACAGTAGCCACCAATACATGTTATAGAACCGCCACATTCACTTTCTTTAACACATGGCACTATAAATACAAGTAACATATCAGTACACAAAGGGAGCCACGATGGCTAAGTCGCCGGTAGTTCTCACTATAATAGTTAAACATTAGATAATGTAAAGGGAATATTCTGAAAATTTAAATCACATTGCTCCATTCTGAACCGAAATATTAGCGATCATCATTATTAAAGTCGGAACGATTTTCTAACGTGGTTTCCCCTTGTCAGTGGTGCAGGACGGGGGAGGGGTGCTGACAAGGACAACTGTCTAGTCGTTCGGATGGGATGAAAAACCAAGGTCCTGTGTATACATTGACGTGCACGTAAAAGATCTTTTGGCAGTTGGAATTCGATTTTGAGTAGGCCATAGTACCGCTGCCCAGGCACAATGTCCCTCACTAGCACACTGTATGGAGAAAGACCATCTTCATTAGCCCAGTCGGAGCAGAACAGTAGGATGTTAAACCCCACTTCAATTCATTTCATTTTATTAACATACACCATGATTATCAATTTCAATAGTTTTTCCAAAGTGTAACATTTTTTTTTTAACCTGAACATCACGTTAACGGGCTCAGGTTAACTCTATTACTGACACAAACTCTTAACACTAGCACAAACTTATTGTTCTGACCTCACCCATTGTTTATAACATATATCATATTTACCGAGACAAACACCATCAGAACATTTGCCTCCATGATATCCGCATGCGTCACCATTATCTGTCAAGCCGCAAAAATTAGTGTCTGTAATAAATATTTTTTTACAATATGTTGTTAGAGTTATCTTTCATAAGACAATATGTTGTTAGATTGACAAACTACAAAATCTGACAAATTATCCAACATAGGATAGTGTCAGCAGGTATTCCCTTTGTTAAGGCATTACGGATATCCTGTTAAGTGCATTTGAATGATCAATTTGAACAGCATTTTATTAAAATAATAGAAATAAAGTAATATACATATTACGCTTACATATGCACGCCGTGTCATTGAAACATTTACTCGAACCCAGAGCACAGAATTGACCTTCTCCACATGGTACACCTGAAACAATTGATCTTTATTAAAGTGCTGGACAATGTTACAATATATTTCTGGTTTATTTATATTATTTCCCTCATCTAGGCCAAAACAAGAATATAGCTATGGATTGTATATCATCATCCTATTGATCGTATACACTGCATGGACCGAGAAAGTTCATCCAGATTTTCCGGCGTAGTGATGCACGACGGAGGACAGCTGCCTAGTCGTTCAGAAAGGACGAAAAACCGGGGTCTCATGTACACATTGGCGTGCACGTAAAAGATCACTTGACAGTTGGGATTAGAGAGAGAGAGAGAAATGGAGTTTAACGTCCACTCGACAAAAACTAGGTCATTTTGGGACTAACATATGTTGTTTTGTTTTGTTTTTTTTAAATTTTGTTTCAATAATTCGCTTGCGAGTAGGGGTTTTTAGCAGTGGGGGGAAACCGGAGGACCCGGAGAAAACCCACGAGGTTGGACAGGCGACCCTACTCATTGTCACATATAATCGGGGATTCGAAACCTCACCAGTTGACTCAGTGACAGGCTTTATAATACAACGCGCACATGATAACCATTTGACCATCAAACCCACCCCACTCCTCCAAACCATCACCACCTCCCCATAAGATTGTAGCTCAACGAACTAAATATCACGATTCGTGGTTTTAATCGCTGAGTAATCGTAGTGATCCTATCAGGTTCCAAATCGAAACGTATCCGAACATATCTTTACGTAGCAGATCGTGGACTCATTAGGGGCAATCCTATCGTAACGCAGAGTACGACGATGGGGAATCTAGCGTAAAATAAACCACATACCATTTCCAGAACAATATGTCTGAATGCCATCTTTATAAAAAGTGTCACACCCATCATCAACTGAAATATAAAACATATATATATATATATATATATATAAATAGAACGCCCAATTATCATATTGTGACACGTCGGTAAACCTTTTGTGGGCGCTGACCGTGTTTTACAGGAATTCATGGATTGTGTTGAAACTCTACATACATGTGATCAACATATTAAAGATGGACAACCAATGCCTTGAGACTATTTCGTGAAATTGTTATGCAATTCATAAAGTCGTAATTAAAATATCAAAAGTGTGTAAACTTTCTGAAATCGGAAAGTTGCACAGTTCTGTTTTTTTTCATAAAATTTTAAGACTTGCCAATGTATGACGTCTTGCCATTGCCAATGCTTGACAGTAATATTTTTTTTAAATTGATGAAACTTTGCATAATTTTACCAGCATCTAAGATTATCTAGAGGGTTTCAAAAATGTTATTGTAATTGGTGATCGTTTGAATTTCGACTGTTTATAAATGAAATAAATTAAAATGAACTGAAATGTGGTTTAACGTGCTACTGTTCTGCTCCGACTAGGCTAATGAAGACGGGCATGATACGTCGTACAGTGCGCTACGAGGGAAAGTTTGCCTTATATCGAATTCCATCTGCCAATTCCATCCTGGTCGCGTGTCAGTCCCTGTGAACGCCTGTACAATGTAAAGGATTATTTTAGTGAGGAAATAAGACCTTGCTTACCTCACTAGTGTCAGTATGCGCAACACAACGGGCTGTTAAAAATACGTCCCCTTCTGGCAGAAGCCCATTGAAATCTAAATATAGGACGGTTCCTGAACGTACGTCAGATATTGATTAATCAATGAGCATTGATGTTTCTAGTGGTTTACCCACAGTTCCGTGCATTGCACGCCAAGAACTCGCCGTTACAGATCGTTTCATTAGCTAATCCCTCACTTCAACCAGAACACCGGTAATATAACAACTAGTAAAACGACAAGTAAAACTAAATTTTGAACTATAAAAAACGAAACGAAATATAGATCTGTATTTCAATGATAGAAGATCATGTATCTTACCACTGAATGAACATTGGTATACGGTACAACTGTCTGGGTTTTTTTTACCGCTAGCTTTACACTCGGCCGGGGAACATAATCTACCTGTAAAATAATTATGATATAAATGAAATGAAATAAAATGGGGTTTAACGTCCTACTGTTTTGCTCCGAACTGGGCTTATGAAGACGGACATACGCCATACAGTGTGCGGCACTACGGCCTACTCTTATATCGAATTCCAACTGTCAAGGGATTTTTTATGTGAAAGCCAATGTGTACACAGAACCTTGTTTTTTTGTCTAGACAGCTGTCGTTGACAGGCCGTCAGTCCTGCATCACTGACAAGGAGAATTATAATATAAGTAATATCGTAAATATTTGATCTACTCCCGATGTAAGAAATCAATCTGCCATGGCTAATATGTGAGGATATAAAATAAATGAAATGGAGTTAAACTTCCTACTCCTCTGCTCCGACTGGGCTAATGAAGACAGGCCTACTCTTATATCGAATTCCAACTGCCTAGGGATCTATTACATGCACGCCAATGTATACACGGGACCTCGGGTTTTTCTCCCATCCGAATGACTAGACAGCTGTTCTTATCAGGCCCTCTGTCCTGCATCACTGACACACCCAATTAACAACCCAGGAGATCTAAGCCCATGGGATTTATAACAAATCTGTCTGAACAAGCAGGATATAATATATTAACGTTATTTTACAGCAACATAAGCATCAATATTACCTTAAATAACAGCTCGAAGCTAATTTATAATATACTATTCAAAAAAAGTAGGGGATATTTGATTTTGGGGGCATAATACTAAAATATGCAAATGACTACGAAAAAAGTCACTATAGAACCTAACAGAAGAAACATTTCCAGTTACATGTGACGCCCAAACGCACCAATAGCTACCGCATGGAATGCAGGTGATGCTTGGGATCATCATGGGGGTCCAACCCAAGATTTGCACGACTCTGACTTTGAATGTTACAGTCATTGTGGCATTGAATTCCAGGGTGGAAACATCAGTTTAATTGTTTTAGTGACCAGAAAACAAATTTTGATATGCGTCGGCTTACCCAAAATGAAAGGTTACGTGCCCTTGGCATGCTACAGATCGGCACAACACAGGCGGTTGTGGCGCGGACGATGAATGTTTCTCAGTCTGTCATAAGCAGGCTATGGTCCGGATACCGTGATACACAATCTGTACAGGACAGACCACGCTCAGGTCGACAACTCAAGCCCAGGATCGATTTATCCGTACCTTGGCCTTGAGAAATCGTGTCATCACAGCAAATCAGATCAGCGCTCGTCTTCAAACAGACACTGGTGTGAGAGTGAGTGGCAAGACGATTCGGAATCGACTGCATATGGGTCACCTTCGCGCCCGACGTCCTCGCGTGATCCCTTGTTTGAGAGATCATCACATTCAGGCAAGACGTCGTTGGTGTAGGGATCGTCAACACTGGGATAATCGACGCTGGAGCAATGTGATGTTTTCAGATGAGTCAAGGTTCACTGTTGATTTTTTGGACAGACGTAGGAGCGCTTCCAAGACGTTAACGTCATCAGACATGATCGATTTGGGGGTGGTTCTTTTATGGTGTGGTGAGGCATCACTGTTGCTGGAAGAACGGCTTTACATGTTGTTGCAGGGCGTGTTACAGGCCAGTACTACCGGGACAACATCTTTGCAGTCCATGTTGTGCCGTTCGCACGACGTCATGGCCGCCGTTTCATCTTCCAGGATGACAACGCAAGATATCACAGGGCCAGGATCGTTACAGGTTACCTCCAACAACAGAACATCACCACATTACCTTGGCCAGCACTGAGTCCCGACCTCTCCCCCATCGAGCATGTCTGGGACATGCTTGGACAGAGGTTACGTCAACGTCAACAACGTCCTGCCAATGTCCAAGAACTTGCTGCTGCGTTGCAACAGGAATGGGACAATCTGGACCAAAATGACCTTAGACGTCTCATTAGGAGTATGCCACGTCGGATCAATGCTTGTTTGGCAAACAGAGGAGGATTTACCCGTTACTGACTTGGTTGTGATGCTGTGGTAACTTTGCTGTTTGACCCCGGGTATCATTTTACCCTTATAATGGTCAGTCTGTGCCTTACTTAGTCTAACAATCATTTGGAATAAATCGATGAATGTGAACTTCATTTCATTTTGTCATTTGTTTCTTCGTCAGTTTCATTAGGTGACTTTAATAACACTTAAAAATCAAATATCCCCTACTTTTTTTGAATAGTATATATAATATTGTTCACCAAAATGGTAGAAATAAGAGCACTCTGGCTAAATGTTAGAGGACTTCGTAAAATAGTCCTTATTTTGATTTATGGCAATTATAAATTTGATCTGAAAGAAATCAAAGGCAGTTAAACTATTTAGCTATGAAATAGTAATACTTGCCTGCTGCAGTACAGCTTGGCAACATGGAAGCAAGCACAATGGCAACGGACATCAACAACAAAGTACACATCTTGATGAATCTTCAACCTGGAGTCAACAGCAAGTATACAGTATTGTGGTTGGCGACCTCTTTTAAACCTAATAGATGGCAACAGCTTTTGTGGGAGAAAATTTCATTATTCTAGCTGAATTAAATAGCGTTATGTGGATAAACACGTTATTAAATAATACCTTTTATGGCATATTTTAATTTAATATGTTCAACTAAAGTAAAAACCAACGTATTAATGGTATTTTCAAGTTAGTCATGCCTCATGATACAGCGCGCACATGCTAACCATTCGGACAACCATCCCCCCCAATGGTGGGAGAATAACTAATCCTTTTTTAAAAATGGCTATAGAGACGAAATGTATTTTCTTTAAAATGGCCAGCCAATTCGGTAATAAGATGGGATTGTTCTCGTATAACCAGAGCTTTTATTGAGTCTTTTATATGGTTGTCGATGTTTCTGAATTTAAAGATAAATTTCGAAAAGCCAACATAGCAGAAATTCAAAATAGAATCCAATATGGCGAATTATAAGTTACTCGCCAATTCTTCCAGTTAGGTATAACTTGTAAAATGGGTTTTGATGGCTCGGTGGCATTCTCTCTAACCAGAAGCGAAATTTCTGTTGATGGTTTGTAGAGTATATCTCGGTGTTAAAGGTTTATGCGTATATTTAATATGTAAGCCTATAACTAACATGCATAATTTCTACTTTTCGCCCCTCCAGAACACGAAACTCGAAAAGTAGAAGTTACGATAAAATGTGAGGCCACAGCACGCTATACAAGCCAAAATGGACTGGAAAATAGGAAATTAAGAAATAATACACCGCGATAATAGCGCCCCTCGTTTTTTCCTAATTTCTAATTTTCTACTTTAAATTAGGAATGGTAGTTAAAGGCTTCCAGAATTTAACGTACGGCAATCTTTACAATTGATTACAAATGAGGTTAATTCATGACTAAAAGGGATCTCGAAATACCATACTCCTTTTTAGTCCATCCCTCAACAGGGAGGGGAAAGATAGGTTGTTGAAACGTGTTGCAAATATCCGAATTATTGGATTGATTACTTTGATTATGAGTAAAAATACACTATATAACATTTGTTTCCGTTTTACCCAATAAACAATTTATTATTAGCTCGCGTTGTGGCAATCTGTTACAAATTTCCGTATTACACGGTAGAGAGCTTAAACTATCATGAATATTAACAATTGGTCGAATATTTTACAGCTTCGTAATTCGTGAATTCCAAGTTCATTGTGATTTTCTGACGTGGTTTCCCCTTGTCAGTGGTGCAGGAAGGAGGGCGTGAAAAGGACAGCTGTCCAGTCGTTCCGATGGTACGAAAAACCAAGGTCCTGTGTACAAATTGGCGTTCATGTAAAAGATCCCTTGGCAGTTGGAATTCGATACAAGAGTAGGCCATAGTGCCGCTGCCAGGGCCCTCATACCACACGGCATGGCGTATGTCCATCTTCATTAGCCCAGTCGGAGTAGAACAGTAAGACGTTAAACCCCATTGCAATTCATTTCAATACTCTATCCGCATAAAATGTTTAGGGGTGGGGGTCCAGCGGTTATATAGGGAACAATGCCATTTTATTACGAAATTTGGCAGCCATTTTGAAAGGATGGCCGGCACCATGTGAAAAATACATTTTTTAAAATTGATTTGCTTCAGTTTTTTTTACTTTCGGAACACTTCGCCTCTATAACCACTTTGTATCGTAAGATTTTTTTTTTCTTTTAAATTTTTTTTTTCTTTTAAAAAAAAAAGATATTTATTGTCCTACCACTAAAACGCAAGATATCGCTCTCCGATATATTGAATTATATTAATTACGTCATTTCGCCTTGGCCGAATTTGAGTATGATGTTGTCTAATATAAGTACGATTCAGTCCAACTGGGATCGTTTTTGCCGGCGTTCATGGAAAAGTGGGTACATGCTACAATTACGCTTTCCATTTCAATTACTTTTAATAAATATCATTACTGTCTATCTGGCTGTCACACTTTTTGGGACACAATAACTTCTTTTCTAACTGAGGTCGAATATTCGAATTGGGTGCAGGTGTTGATGAGGTGAATGCCTTGATGGAGTTCTAGATGAACATTTTCTGCTTAGGGTAAGCAGAGATAAGCAATTCGATTGGTTGAGACTTTGGAACACGATAACTTTGGTTCTAATTGGATGAGAGCGATAAAACTCCATATTATATCAATTCCTTAACTAAGTTCTATGTTGAGAATGTTCTGCTTAGGCTAATTAACAATAAGGAATTTGATTGGTCAAGACTCTGGAACAACACAACTCTGCTTTTAATTGAGGTAGAATGTTTAATGTAGATGTTCATTAGGTGAATGTCTTGCCTGAGTTCAATGATTAAAGATACATTTTTGGAGATTAGATAACGAGTTGGCAGTTTTAAACTAATTTTGTCACTTTTACAAGAATATTAGAATTAAATGGAGAGTGAGTCATTTACCACGAGGGCTGACAAATGCAATTTACTATGCATCTCGTATCTCAGTCAATTTTCAAGGTACAGACCACAAATTTTGCACAGTTTCTAGTTTTTGCATATTCAATAACATATATTTTTA